TTTTGGGCTCGATTCCCAGTAGGGGGCGTGCAGGAGGCAGGTGATCAATGTTTTTCTGATATGGATGTTTCTATTTCTCTATCCCTCTGCCTTCCTGTCTCTCTAAAAAATCGATAAAAACATATTTAAAAAAAATAGTGGTAGATAAGTGCTTATGGTAGGCGTATATATACTGAGGGGGAATACAGGGATAGACTTGAAGGGCCCCAGGCAGTGGATTGTTTGGTATATATGTGGTAAGTGTGAGTGTGTGTAAAATAAGGAAACCTAATACTGTATTAAGTTTTCCTGAAAAGTTTCAGAGGTATTCTACTCTTCTCCTTTACTTTTTGTAAATCATTAACAAGGAAACAATATATTTTGAAAACTGAAAATTAATATTCAGTTTTCATTGGTGAATAAAGAATTCTCTTTGATTTTAAAAAGAAAACAACAACAACAACAACACAACCATAACCTGAAGTTTCTTTAATTTTTGTGTTTAACATGATATAATTTTTCAAAGTGGGTACTCTTAATCTTTTTGAAGCCATATTAATAACCTCCTGGAAGATTAAAAATGCATAACTATGAACATTTAGTAAGACTGCTAAAGCTTTTTTATCCTTATTAACAAATAAATGTATCTGTGGAAGTCAGAGAAAGAGTAGCTTCCCTGGAGCAAAACATTTTTTAACAATTAGATATTTCTTGTGAGAAACCCAGAAAAGGTATGACTGATTGCTTTCTTGGATTAAACTGAGGGTGCTAAATGAAAAACAAATTAGGTACAGATGTTCAGTATATTGAGATTAATTTTATTCTCATGGGTACCATTTCCTTAGCTGCTTGGACTAATAGCAATTTGTTTCCAGAGAAGTGAATATGTGTCAAAATAACGAAGCCAATCACCACAGTTCAATAAGTTTTTCCCGTATATGTATTTTGAAAGTGGATAAATGTTTGTAATAAACAAAATGTCCAGCATTTATATTAATAATGACTTTCTATATAAGTAACACAATATATATTCATTCATTCAACCAAGACATGTCAGACACTGAGTTAGATTCTGGGGGATTCAAAAATAAATAAAACAAGATTCTTGCCTGGAGCTCTAATCTAGTGGGGGAGAGACGAGTAAGCAATAATTACAGTACAAGATAATGGGGCTCTGGTAGAGACAAGAACAAAACACCATGGGAACATGAGTTTTCCCTATTAACCAGCCTCGAGAAAGATAACATAATATGGTTCAATATCACAAAAAAGCAAAAACATAACAAATAACATACGAGAATGGCTGCCCTTCATAATAACAATGACTATTTACAGGTCAATAATAACAACAATGACTGTTTATCTTATAAAACACTTAGGTATTGCAAAATAGATAGGCCAGCCTTAATTATCACTTAATATCTTACCCACGATTTTCGTAAACAACTTAAGAGCAGGAATCATGCCTTTCACCTTTGTATTCCAAGGCCCAGCACAGTGCCTGTTATACAATAACAGTTTTAACACAGTGCATGCACATATACAGGAACACTGATGACTGCACAGAGGGCCCACTTCTGAGTTCACAGTTAACAGAATTAAAAGGATAGGCAATACTTGAAAAGAATATTTGATATCCGATATATCAGAGAAGTGCTATTAACCAAAGGGAAATGACGTTTAACAGGGATTGGTACTGACAATATTTGTTATAGAAGACATATGTGACTCATTTTTTAATAATCTCTCTAGGCGTATAGTCATGACTACATAGTAGACACTGGTAACTATTTACTGAATGAACAGATCTACTTCCACAAATGTATCTCCTGGATCCAACTTCTCTCTACATAGCTTTCTATGTACCTCCACTCTCATCTTCCTAACTGGCTCCCTAGCAGTTAGGACCCTTCATTTAAAAAATATAATTTAAAAAAAAAAAAGCATAGGAAGTATATAGTACAAAAGCCTGGCATGGGCCCACATCAGATACTAAATGACTGAAAATTAGTGAGCTAGGTTGTCCTGAGAAAATTAGTTATTCATATGTTTTAAAATGAGAATGGATGGATCCCTACACAAAAATCTATTTGTTATATAATAAAAGACTTGAATAGGAAAGAAAATATAGAAACATTTTAAAACAATCTCTGCTTAGCTCTTCAGTGTCCCAGCTGTTGTTTACTGCTGGGTTTTGAGAACCTCACCCTATAAAAGCACAGTTTAGAAACCTGCTAATGATTTGTGAGGGATTTGTACCTAGATTTTTGGGTTCCTTTTCCACAGTTCCCTTCTCTCCAGGATTTGCCCTTAAAGTTCCAGCCACTGCTAACTCCAAACTCGATCTGGGTTTCTCAGCCTACTAAGATTACAGCTCCTACTAGGGTTGTATTCTTCACATTCCAATTTGGAAAATGCCTTAAAGGAAACAGGCAGGCTGCATGTGGAACAAATTTCATGATTCCCTTCTCTGCATCATCGCAGTTCCTTGGATCCTGCCTATGTTGATTGTCCTCAATGCCTTCAAACAATCTACTTTATGTATTTTGTTCAGTTTTTAGAGATGCTTTTGGCAGATGGGTTATTCTAAAATAAGTGGTCATGGTCAGAACTTAAGTCTAGTTATGGAAGTTTCTTATTGATTGCTCATTTTTCTGATTTCTTCTTTTATATCTCTATATCTTCTTTCAAAACAACCATCAATGGTTATTTTATATTGTGTTTTTAATGATGGCAATAGCCAACGTTTTTGATGTAATAAATCTGCTTAATGTTTTTGTTCTCATTCATGGTAGATTGCTTCCTCATGTGTTTCACTCTGAGATCACGTTGGATCTATTTTAATATGAAGGAATCCTAGAAGTTTAAGGTGAAGATGTTTTCTCTAAAGAGAATTTGTGCTAGTGTCTGCTCACAGGCAAGGTGTGCTACAGACCTGGAACATATCTCATCTACAACTATTCTTTGAAAATTCTTTCTAGGCCCTTCACCATCTTGTTCCTGCCTGATCTATACAAACTTTAATTTCTTAATAACGGTGTTTTTGTATGAAACACAAAATCAAACACAATACTCAGGTTTGATCTGGAGAGACAGAGTTCTAAATAATTATTACCACCCTTATTCTGAAAATTCTACTAATGCTAGTACAGCCTAAAGATATATTACTTCTTTTGGCAAACATGGAAAAACAAACTATAACACAGAGATGGGGAAATGCATAATTATGAGATAGCTGGAAAAACATGAAACTTGTTATTTATGAAGTCAGCTATGTAAATTGTGACATGTAAACCACAGTTCTATTTATTCCTTGACATTAAAAAAATCACACAGAAAAATAAAGGAGAAACAAAAGCGAAAAAAAAAAACCCAAGGCCCTGCATCTGTGAAGAGACTTAGAGCTAAGCCAGCATGCCTGGCTGTGCACTCCCTTTCTCTGAACTTTTCTCATATTACACCTCAAAAATGTCTTCCTGTTGGATCATCAATGTCAATCTTCATTTTCCCACATGATCCACTGATATTAAGTTAGGTTCCTACAACCTACATTTTTGAAGTTGAGTTTTAAACCTAAATGAATCACAATAAATAAATAAAAATCTATCAGCCCTAGACAGTTTGGCTCAGTGGTTAGAGAGTCAGCCCGTGAACTAAGGGTCCTGGGTTCGATTCCGGCCAAGGGCACGTACATCGGTTGCAGGCTCGATTCCCGGCCCCAGCCGGGGCATGTGTGGGAGGAAACCAATCAATGGATGTGTCTCTCTCACATCCATGTTTCTTTCCCTCTCTGTCTCCCTTCCACTCTCTCTGAAAAATGGAGAAAATATACTAGTGTGAGGATTAAAAAAAAAAAATCTATCAAATTCTTAATACTGGGGCTATTCCCAATCTGAAATGTTTACTTTATGAAAACAAATTAAATGGATGAATAATTTTAACAGCTGACAAGCCTAGGTGAAAGGTTATAAGTACCCAAGCAGTAGTTAAAAGTGAGATTGAAAATGAGATTTAAAAAAAATTACTATAATGAAAAGCAAATTCAAGAGCAGTAACTTTGGAAATAACCTGACAGGCCTAACATATAACTAGCATAATCAGTAGTATATCTTAATGTCAGTCTCTTTTTACATATTCAACTAATGAAAAGGTATTTTTCTAACCCCTCAATTAATATGCTATATCTGGTTCATATTTTTAAATGGGAAATAACTCTAATAGTTTCTGTTGGATCTAACTAATTTTCATTGCTTTTTACACAAAAAAATACATAAGTCTAAGATAACAACAACAACAAAAAATACCAGGCGCTAGAAATACATTTTATAGGCCAAAATTTTATGGTGGGAAAATAGTTTTCGGGTAAATAATTCTTTAAAAAAATTTGAAACTTCCCATTTTATTTTTTGATATGTTTAAATCTAAAAATCTGAGTTCTTGACAATGCCTTTAAAAACCTGAAGTCATTGAAACGGCAATATAGTTTTAGATTTTTTTAAAAGTTGAAAATATATCCAGAAAATAAATTTCTTTTATGCCCCCTAAATACCACTCATTTTAAGAGAGACTACAGATTTTTATTGTAAAAGTAATACTCATTAAGGAAAAGAAATTTTAAACAGTGCAAAGTACAAAAACTCCTAATATTCCCAATATTAAAACCCAACCATTATTAACATCTTAGTGGGGGTGTTTTTCCTTTGCTTTTTCCCATGAATAAATTGATTTCTAATATAGTTTAATCATATTGTACATATAATTTTGATTCCTTTCCCCTGACTGAACCTTAGATCATAAAATGAACTCTACTGTCCGAGGAACTTAGATGAGTGAAAGTAGCCACACGGATGGTTATCTGTGCTTTACTATCTGCAGTTTTAAGACTATTTGTGGAGAAAACATATGAAACTAAGAGTCATATACTTGTGATTTCTTTATCATCTGTCCATTGCACAGTTCCATGAACCAAGTAACAACTACCACACAAAAGGTTTATACTTCAAAGTGACTTTATGTCTCACCTTCTGAGCTGCAAGATGGAGGGCTGTTCTTCGGCTGTGGTCAGTTTTATTAACGTCTGCTCCTGCCTTCAGGAGAGTATCTGCACAGTCCAGTCTGTCAGCCAACACACAGTACATGAGGGGTGTTCTCCCAAACTGATCTTCTTTGTCTTTCAGGGCCGCATTTCCTACGAATAAAAGAAACAGTGATATTTCATCATTGTTGTTATTACTAATTGGACTAGGAACCACATTTACTAAGTGTTTATCAAGCACTGTGCTAAATGCATTAAATACATTATCTCATTTTTACTGACCCTATGAGATAGATATTACTATCCCCATATTATAGGAAACTGAGACCCAGAGAAGTAAAGTAACTTGTTTACATTACACTGAAAGTAGGTGGTGGAGCTAAAATTCAGAATGACTGTTGACTCTGTAAAGGTCATATTCTTAACTACTATGTTATGCTAAATTAACATTTTGAGATATGAAGCTACTTATCTTCCTCCCTCACTCCCTCCCTTCTTTTGTCAACAAATACTTAGTGCAGACCATACACCAGGCAATGTGGTATGTTTTTGAGAGATACAAAGATGAATTGTGGTTGGTTTTCCGTTTCAGACAATATGAAGCAAGTGCATTTACCCTGATCCTCCTGCTATTTACAACTAAACGCCCCAGGAAAATTCATGAAAGGTGGAGAAAAGCAGAGAGACTGGTTAGAGAACTGTGAAACTCTGGGAACCACCTGATGGTGTGTTCCCTGAAGGTTTTTGTTGTTGTTTTTTAATCTTTATTTATTTTTATTTTTTATTGAACTTATTGGGGTGACATTGGTTAATAAAATTATATAGGTTTTAGGTATACAATTCTACAATGCATTATCTGTATATTGTATTGTGTGTTCACCACCCCAACTCAACTCTCCTCCTGTCACCATTTACCCCCCTACACCCTCTTCTACCTCCCCTTCCCTCTAGCAATCGCCATACTGTTGTTGGTGTCCATGAGTCTTTTTTGGGTGTGAGCCTCCTATACATAGCCAGTTTGGCTGCCAGAGTAGCCCAGCAGAAACACTAATGGGCACAGAGAAAATTCCTCACGATGCCTACTCTTTCCAGTCAAAAGACTGGGCAGCGGGTAGCCCTGCAGGAATGAACTCTTCTGACTGTACCTGCTCTACTCAAAGCACATACTGTAGAACAAAAGAAACTGGCCACTCCTTTCCTTCCTGCTGAGTACTGCAGTGGGGAGGAGCCCTATGAACCACTGTGCCCCAAATTAAGCAAAGGATGGCAATGAAGTGGTATCTTACCCCTTCCCAACTAGAGGGTGGGAAGTACTGTGGAGAGGAGGAAGCTGAAGAAAGCAATTCTTTAAATAGGTACATGACGTTGTGGACAACTTCTGGGCAGCTCATGTATGAAACTAACCGGAATCAAACTAGAAAAATCTATGGAAAACGGTCAAGTTCTTATTAAGTTAGTTATTATTTGGTTACCACGTGACCCAAAAAGCTCTCTTCTAGGTGTTCACTCGGGAAATAGAAGCATCAAAACATGTTCACATAAAAACCTGTAAGTGTATATTTATGGACGCTCCATTTATAGTTGCTAAAAACTAGAAGCATCTCAATTGTCCCTGAAATGAAGAACAATAAAGGAAACTGTAGTACATCCACACAACAGGATACTGCTCAACAAGAAAAACAAATAAACTACTACTGATCCACTCAACAACATGGAAAAAAATCTCAAATGCAGTAGGTAAAAAACTCAGTCTCAAAGGATACATATTGTTTGATTCACTTACACAGCATTCTGGAATATGTAAAACTACAGGGACAGAAAACAGAGAAGTGGTGGGTTTCCAGGGACTGAGATGTGGGGAGGTACTGATTATAAAGGGACACATGAGAATTTGGAGGTGCGATGGCTGTTCTTTATCTTGATGATGGTGGTGATTACATGCCTATATATTTGTTAAAATTTAATCATTGTACAATACAAGGGAGAAGTTTACAATATTCACTGAATTACACTTAATAAGCTTTACTTGACAAGAACACTAACAAAAGATACCATGGTTCCTACCACGCACATTAAGTGAAAAAATTTTGCTCCTTTCATCACAGATAATGACCAGGTGTTCACAGACTAGCTGAGAGCAAGCTCATAAGGGTTGAGAGTAAGGGAAGCCAGTTACTTTTTCCCCCCAGACAAGGCAACTAAGAAATTTTACCTTTATTATTTTTATTTTTCAGTTACAGTTTATACTCAATGTTATTCTGCATTAGCTTCAGATATACAACACAGAGGTACTTTACAAAATCACATACTTTACACAAAGCTTTTGTACATTAAGGGAAACCATCAACAGAATAAAAAGACAACCTACTGGATGGGAAAAGATACTCGTCAATGACACATCCGATAAGGGGTTAACATCCAAAATTGATAAAGAATGCAGACAACCTAACACCAGAAAAGCAAACAACCCAATTACAAAGTGTGCGGAAGACCTGGCCAGACACTCCTCCAAAGAGGACATACGGATGGACAAGAGACATGAAAAGTTGCTCAGCATCACTAATCATCTGAGATGCAATCAGAACCACAGTGAGGTGTCACCTCACACCTGTCAGAATGGCTATAGCCAATAACTCAAGAAACAAGTGTTGGCGAGGGTGTGGAGAAAAGCCAGTCACTTTGGAAGTGTTTTGGCCCTGAAGTTGTTCAGTGGTGAGAGCATCAGCCTGCGCATCGAAGAGTCACAGGTTTGATGCCTGGTCAAGGACAGGTACCTGGGCTGCAGGTTTGATGCCCAGCCTCCGTCTGGGCGCATGTGGTAGGCAACTAATCCGTGTGTGTCTCTCTCTTTCTCCCTCCCATCTCCCTTCCACTCTCTCTGAAAATTAGTGGAAAAAATCCTCGGGTGAGGATTGGCAAAAAAAAAAGAGTAAAGTGTTTTGAACTCTGCTCATGGGGGAAGAAAACTGACCAAATGAAATATTGCCTTTGTGGAAATATAAACGTTAGGTGAAGAAAAAGAAAGTGTCGCAGTTCTGAGTTGTTTTGTGCCTGTTTTAGTTCTAAATATTTCAATATATATTTAAATCTTGGACATACTGGGACCCAGAAGTACTTTATAGATTTCAGAGAATTCACTTTGCTAATCCATGTTTCCATGTACACTGGTAATAAAGCAAGAAAGGTCATGGCTCTGGAAATTTAAAAGAGCCTTACAAATATATTCAGATAGCCTTCGGAGGAAGCAGGTGTTCTTTTTCAAAATCTTTGCTATCAGCCCTAGCCGGTTTGCTCAATGGTTAGAGCGTCAGCCTGTGGACTGAAGGGTCCTGGGTTTGATCCCGGCCAAGGGCATGTGCCTCAGTTGCAGGCTCAATCCCTGGCCCTGGTCGGTGGGCGAGCAGGAGGCAACCAATCGATGTGTCTCTCTCACATTGATGTTTCTCTCTCTCTCCCCCTCCGCTCTCTCTGAAAAGCAATGGAAAAAATATCCTTGAGTGAGGATTTAAAAAAAAAAAATCTTGGTTTTCAGATAGAGGCAAGTTTTCTGCATTTGATCCAACCTATGTGATAACAGAAGCCGCTGTGCACAAGTCTTCTGAGTTATGGTAAAACTGTCTGAGGTACTATTTTGTCCATAAGGCCCTCCAACATCTAATCTGGAAGATTCCAGAGATTCTATTATTGTGTGTACAGACAAGGACTCATTTAAACCCAAACTCATTTATAAAACTAAAATGTATTATAGGTAGAGCTTGTTCCTTTTATTGTTTGAGCCCTTCTGGAGTCAAAATGACACTAACAATATGTGGGACTAAGGCTAGTCTCCAGTTGTCTTTCACAATTAAACGACTCTACCAGCATCTTCCTTGTTAGTGTTAAGCAGACAGTACTACCTAGCGTTAGCCAAAAGGTGGCAATTCACGCTCTCACTCCCCTAGAGTGAGATTCCTCCTCAGAGGCTTTAGTAAGGGAGTGGATTCAGGAACTGTGGTCACATGTACCCATGTTGAGAAATGGAGGCAATCGTCACCTACCGGGATAGTCCTAACTGATTAAGCTTCTCAGGGCCAAAGGGAAATCAGTACCATGGGGTTAATAGGTAACTCTCTACCAGGACATAGAACTTTAGGCCAGTTACTATGCTCTTCCCAAGTCTGCTGTGAAAACAGGGAAGCTTCAGCCCTCTCTTCAATCCTTGGCATACTTTGTTTTGCATAACTGGTTCTTTATGCTTCCCACCAGAGAAGGTTTAATTGGGTTATGTCACCTATTCAGTAAGTAGTGCCTGTAAGGCAAAATTTGTGTATCTGAGGAAACAGAAGGCATGTAACCCTTATTCGTGATTAGAAAAGGAGCATTCAGTCTCACTTTGGTCCTGTTCTGAGTTGCTTTAGAGGACGGTGGCGTCCTGGCTAGCTTCTAAGTAACAAGGGTCCCGTCAACTTCCTGGCTAACTGAGAGGCCTGTGCCTTTACCTACCCTCCCACCTTCCTTAGTTTCCTCAATTATAAGATTCAGCCAATACCTGCCCAGCCTACACAACAGTTTATTTTGATGTTTGAGTGAAATGACTTATTGTGTGGAAGTGTTTGGTAACTGTGACAGGCTGTACAAACATAGGGCTTGTGGTGTAAACTGACATGCACTAGATGACAGGCACTTATATTTGCGTTCCTCTCGGGGACAGCTAATACAGAAAGCAGCTGGCTAGTGTGCTGTGTTGTTTTCATTATTCTGACGACTGTAGAGACAGCCTCTAATCCATGGCCAATGGGTGCCTGCTTAACTGGGGCTGGCATTCTGCAGGTGCTGGGCCGGAACACTGCTCAGAAAGCTGAGCTGGAACCATGACTGCAAAGCCACTGCTCTGCTGCACTCAGCTATTTTAGGGCTGGTTGGAGCACAGGAATCTGTATGGTTAATGGGCTCTTACGTGCAGACACCAGAGCTCCAGCTCTAGCAGTCAGAGCAAATGCCTGTCACTTGTAATGACAGTTGTGCCAGTCCACACACTAGTGATGGTGCCATACACTCCAACAAAAGCAGAACCAGCACTCTCTACTGACATCTCATTTGCTTGGTCTGAAATGTTACCTTTGTGGCATCAGAGATGCACTTCATGTGCTTTCTTCTACTTCCTGTGTCACCTC